ATGATTCATACTAACACCATTAAAAAGAGAATTATTACTTTCTAACCATAAATATCATAAAATGAGACAAGGAATGACGTTTCTGATGTGCCCTTTAGTCTTAATGAACCAAGCATTAAGCATAGACTTCAGGGATAAAGGAGCATTAAAGTAATTCAATTGAAACATGTCATCAAAATAAACCCAAGTTTTAGCAGCAATAGGGCCAAAAATAAAAATATGATGCAAACTCTCCAAATGGTAACAACATTGGCATTTGGAAGGAAAAATAAAGCCTCTATTGATAAGATTATCTCCATTGAGAATAAATTTATGCAAGATTCTCCAGACAAAGACTGCCATAATAGAATGAATACTCTTATGCCATACCATAGAGAATATATTCTCAAAATTTTTCCTAGGCCGAAAGGCATGCCAAGCAATTTTTAAGTGAAAGCCACCATCTTTAGAAAAATCACATAAGATAATATCATTAAAAGCATCATTGATAGGGAGGTTCAAAATTTGAAGAACAATGAAATCTGGGATGACATTAAAGAGCTTATCATAATCCCAACAATTATCACTAAGGAGGAATTAACCTTAATTGCCACAATAGAAGAAGTATTCATGATAGAGTCAATAGACTGATTACCTAATCAACAATCTTGCCAAAAGAAAATATTACCATCATCAAGCCCCCAAGAAACGAAAGGCTCAATGAACCATTATTTAACATTACAAAGTCTCTTCCAAATGATAGAATCACCTTGATTAAAATCACAGGTAGAAGGATGGTTACAAAAACAGTACTTAACAGATATAAAATTAGCCAAGAGGCTCACATTAGTACGAAACTTATACCATAATTTAAAAGAAAAACACAAGCTAAGTCATTCATGCTTTTACAACTTTATCGTGGGATTCCAACTTTCTAAGTTTTGGTGGTAGATTAACTCTTATTAAAAGTGTTCTCTGCTCATTGTAATTAAGAGAATAACTATCTTGTTTAGGTGGCTTTTAATATAGAAGATTCATTGGATTCTTTCCTCTAGTCCTTTTACTTATTCTTGATAATATTAATGGCTCCTGAATATGCTCAGATAGTTGTTCCTTCATCATATTTGTCTTATAATATTAGAGACAACAATTTGAATCATTTAATAGTTCATGTTGTACCAATTTTGATTCCATCTCTTTTAAATTCATTAGATTTGATGATGATGCATCCAAAGAATATTTTTTTGTTACCTCTTTCTTAGAAGTTGCATTGTAAGGGATAACAATAATATTTTAACATAAAGTTGATATTTTTTTTTATTTTTGTTATTTTTTATTTTATTTATATATCATAAGGTTGATACTTATTAGATCAAATAGGGGACATATTACCATTGGCTCTTTACTTGTGTGCCTTCAATTGATTAATATGAAGACATTTTCTTATAGCTAATTATTACTTTCACTTTTTTTGTTTGATTTTTTATTCATTCGAGCTAACATGGTGCCTTATCTTGAAATATATATATATATATATGAAAGGATAGATTTTTAAAATTAAAACAGTACAAGTTTTTTAAGCAAAACAGAAATCGAAAAAAAAAAAAACTTTTTTGAAGTAATGTCAGTCGTTTGCTTAGCCAACGACTGGCTCCGACGAGACGTCATGTGGGGGTCATGTGTGGGGGAAGTCTTGTAATTATTACGTCCGATCACCGAATGCGTTCATAGATCAATAACCAAGCGCCACATCACCTAAAACTCGGTAGTGCTCGGTATACATTCAGATACGTTCGATTTTGATCGGACGTAATAATTGCTCCATTCATTGGGTCGGGCAGACGAGTCGCGTGATGAGTTGAACTATCAAGCAAATTGACTTCGACTTGATCAGGAAATAAAAAATTTTCTTCTTAGTTTATTATTTCACTTTTTTTTAATCATTTTTCTTATTTATAGAAAAACAAAAAAAAAACATTTTTAATAATTTTACTTATAGTTTCAATTCTTTTTCTGAGATATATATATATATATTGAAACAACGAAATAAATCTAGTCGTGCTAGCAACTTGTATTTTCCCTTTTATTATTTTTTAGGTTTTATTTAATTATAGTATCATTTATAAATACATATTTATAAAAATGATAATAAAGAAAAATGAAAACGGAAAATTGAAATGAAAAACCAAGATGCCAAGGCGGGTTTCATGCAAGGAGAGCATCAAAAGTTGGCAGAAATTAAGAAAAAAGTATTTGGATTATGAAGTAGACATAAATATAAATACATATATACATGTGATCAGCTATGCTTCCATGCTCAGCTTCGCACTACAGCTACAAAAATATGATGAAAAAGTAGAAGGTACAAATACATGCTTGCGCAATACACAAAGCATTTTGTATAATGATCAAGTAAGAGAGAATAAAAGAAGAAGCAACAAAACAGGAATGGGGAAGACAGCGACAACTTTTGCTATTGTCACAACCAACCTTTTGTATTCATTATTATTTTGATGTTCTCTTTATTAGTATGGAAGCCCACATGTTTCCTTTGAATGGAATTATAAATATTAGGCAATTCATCTTGATCTGTTGATTGAGAATTTTGATTATCAACTAACACTACAGGAGAAATGTCCATTACCGACGATGTTTTCTAGCAGATAATCATTTTTCCAATATTTGATGAATTTCTTGTAGTGTAAGAGGTCTTGAGTTCGAGTCTTGTATATGTGGCATGTGTACAAGTTTGTCTTTGACTGTGTTTGTGATGACATTTTTACTGATTCTTAAAGCAATTTTCTAATAAAAAATTAAATTTTTATACTAGAAAATTTTTTTAAGAAATAGAATATTTGATGAATTTCTTGTAGTGTAAGAGGTCTTGAGTTCGAGTCTTGTATATGTGGCATGTGTACAAGTTTGTCTTTGACTGTGTTTGTGATGACATTTTTACTGATTCTTAAAGCAAATTTCTAATAAAAAATTAAAATTTTTATACTAGAAAGCTGTTTTAAGAAGCAGTAAGAACTATATACGTAATAATATAATTGTGAGAAAATGATCAATGGAATTTAAATTATATTAAGGCTCTTTTGCAAATAAGGCTGGAAAGAAAAAGAATGTGGTTCAATTCATTTGGTCCTATAATACTAAATCATTTTTATGTCTTTTTAAGCAGTGGGGATTTCAAAGCTTTCTTGTCGAGAAATCCTGCCTCAACTTGAAGAATGTTGGGCTTGGAAGCAAAGAAACAGCTGATAGATATAAAGGAGTTTCATTGCCTGCCCATATTTTAAATAATAATAATAATTTGTATGGATGGAGTGGATTTCTTGCCTCTTTAATATTCTTCATTTCTTCTATTTTATTTTATTTGAGATAACTTTCTTATTATTTTCTAAATCAATTTTCTAGTATAAAATTTTTCGTTGTATGATTTTTATATTGAAAAATTATTTTAGAAAGCAGTAAGAAAGCTGTCAAAAATAAAGCATAAATTTTCTTTCTCTTTAATTTTTATGCAAATATTTTAGTAATGTTCTTTAAGGAGAAGCCCCAAAACTATTGCTAAACACCAACCAATAGAACGAGGGACTACAAGTCATACATTGAGAGCTTGGATGTCATTATATGATGCTCTAGCACAAGATCCGTTTGGATTAAACCATTTTTGGTGACTTTAGGTTCGTCTCATCGAAACATTCAATTCAGCTATAATTTTGCTGAAATCAGAGTTCAAAAATTTTAGAAGTTTCAAATTCAACTATGCATCGAGATTGTAGCCTGATGAAAGAGTTATTATGTTTATGATTGGGTACAACACTATATATCTACATATATAAATGAAGAATCAGAAAAACGCAAGTTAGCTTTGTGTCCGGTTATAAGTAGAAAAAAAAATGAAAATATGAATTAATGCTGAAGGTTTCTAATGTATTTGGTACTCCATTAATGAGTGTTGGGCCTTTGTGGGAGAACGTACCATTTGGCAAAGCAGAAGTTGCTGGCTTACTGATTTTCCCAAAAGAAACTAAACATGAATAGTTTTGAACAGGAAGATAGTAGTTGAAATTTTGATATAATTAATCACTTAGGGACCACTAAGCTTTAATTTCTTCGTCTCTATTATATAGCCCTAACTATCAATCGAAATAAAATAAAATAAAAACGATCAAATCATTTCAAATTTTATGAAAAAAAAATTGTGTTATCATTTGTTGTTCTAATCAAGATCTTGATGTTATTATTATGAATATAAATTGCTGTCATCCAGTTTAGAATGAATATGATTTCACATAAGAGTTTATTATCTTTGTTGCCCAACATAATAAAGATCTGAAATCTTAATCAGCAAAACACTAACAAAACATTTTTTATATTTAAGGTTTCGTTCGGGAAGACTTTGTAATTGCTTCTTAAAGAAGTTTTCTAACATCAAAATTTTAATTTTAGTACTAAAAAGCTGCTATAAAAAGCAGTAAGAAAGTCGTCCAAAATGAATTCTAAAATAATTTTGGGTTAAGTCATCAGTTAGTGTCTATTTGGGGCAGTTTTCTAGCTACTTTGCTTTTCACACAATTTCAATTTCGTTTGACTATTATTTTCTAACTATTTTTCAAAAGTTTTTGTGCAGAAAATTATTTTGTATAAATATAATAGGAAATTGTTTTCTCCATAATAACTTCACAATCAATTTTATAGAACTCTTAAATTGTCTCAAACAGACCCTCAATTTATATGGCAGAAAATAAATACGAACCAATTTAACTCAAATCAAATAAAAATTGGAGCTTGAATTGATTTCATCTCAGATAATACTAAAATTTTTTACAAATTAGGGGAAACTTATTTGAACCATAAATTAGAAAACAAAAAAAGTATTTTTTTTTTCCATTTAAATCTTGATTGATTTTTTTAGTGTATGTGCAAGTTTAATAGAACTAATAATTATGAAAAGCAGCGAACACATAAAAGAAAGCACCAATAAAGCAGTGCCACATGTAAATAACTCCTATATCAAGGAAATTACCTAACCTATTGTTCTTCCCGTTCTGAAGACTCGCCCTTTTTCTTCATTAGTTTGAGAAATTTTCTCCAATGGGAACTGAAACAAAGGCACCTTCTTCTTCCTCAGACAGCTCTAGCAGCCATCCTTCAGCTCTTTTCACCACAGCCTTATCTAAAGACAGAGAAGAAGATAAAATCACAGAGTTAAGGCTCGGCCTTAATATCTCAAATTCCACTTCTCTACAAAAGAATTTTCACACTGCAAGGTACATCAGATTAATTCCACTTTTCATTTCTCCATTTTTTTGCTAATTATATCTTTTTTTTATCCTTTATTTTTTCCAGAAAAACAGATCTTTTCATTGTTTTTAATCAACATTTTCCTTTTAAATTTCTGATTAGAGAACATCAACCAGCTAACTGGCCACCAATCAAACATTTCATGTCAAATGCAATGAAGGAGAGAAAAAAATGTCAAAAAAATTCAACATTTTTCATCAAAGTATACATGGAAGGGATTCCAATCGGCAGAAAAATAGATTTATATACTGTTGATGGATATAGCGGATTGAGAGAGAAGATTTCCAACATGTTTGCAGCTCTCATTCTCTGTAAGAACTTGTTTATTCTGCTCTTGTTAGGTATAATATTGAGCTATATTAGTTTTTCTTGAATAATTTGCTTTGAATGATATGTTGCAGCATCTGATCTTGTTGGAATAATTTCGGAAAAGCATTATGTGCTCACTTATGAGGATAATGAAGGTGATTGGATGATGGTGGGAGATGTTCCTTGGGAGTAAGAGCTCCAATTAAATCATTTGTTTATTTACTTTTTAGATTTTTTTCCGTCTGATATTAATTATAAGCCTTGTGATTAACTAGAAATCATTATTTTTAAATAGTGCATAATAAGACGGTCGTCGGTTTGAGACAGTTTTGATAACGTAGCTCACATTGATATGTTAGTTTAGAGCTTTAGCTATTAACCTATAGAGTTTGAGTTCAAATCTTCCATTTGAGTTGTTTGTGTGAATTTATATTAATTAGCCTAAACGTCCCAAAAAAATCTCATTATGATATAATTTGTTTCCTTCCTTTTCGAATCCCTTGAAAAATAGATATTTTCATTGTTTTAGTAATGTGTGCTTATCTCCATTTTCTGAACAGTGATTTCTTGATAACTGTGAAGAGATTGAAGGTTGCAAGTGCTGAGAAATGCTAGGACTCATACTCTTTTTTTTTTTACCCAAGTAAGAAATATGTTAAAGAGAGTTGCCATGTTAATTAATTTTGTTAATTTTTTTCTAAAGTTCTTCAATTACTTGTATTTATTTTGAGTCAATGAGTCTGAACTTTGATTAATTTGGAGGTTTCTCACATATTAAGAAAAGAATGCAGAAGAAGTTACTTCACTGAATACTGTGGTCCTTCTCTGAAGTATCTGAATGGCTTTAAAACCTCACACAGAAGGAAAGAAACTGAAGAAAATTTATTGCTATGGACTTTCTTCTTATCTTTATTAATCCTTTCTTTTTTCTAGGCATCTGCTTTCCACAGTGATGTGGTCCTTAGACAACTATGTCTTCTTTAATTTTTGAAGGATGGCTGATGTTAGTGATTCCACTAAGGCATAATTCCAAAAAACCAGTATGCTTAAATATCAACATTCCTTATCTTCAAATGTAAATATCTAAGGCTTGGCTTGGGATAGCTTTCTTACTGCTTAATAAAGTAACTTTTTAATACAATTTTTTTTTATTAAAAAGCTATTAATTTTATGAAGCAATAAGGAAGCTATCCTAAACGAAGTCTAAATATATTTAAGGAATACATTCTTCTTTTCTATATATTTATTAATATTTTTCATTAAAAATAGTTTAATTGATGATTGCTCTCTATCTCTATCATTATATTTTCACTAGGTTGAAAATGTTTAAATTTTACAAAAGAAATTTAATGACCTCTCTCTTTCTCTTACTCCTATTAACTTATTATTATTTTCCCTGAAACTCAATAATGATGCGCCTTCTATAATAAAAATATATGTCAATTTACATAATATCTTTGTATAATACATTTCTTCGTAAGACGATAATTTGGCTAACATGATAATTTACAACTATTGTTCATGCATTAAATGGGTGATAGTAGATTACTTATAAAATAGAGTTGAAATAAGGCTAATAATAATGATGAGTGCTGAAAATAAGGATTTTTCTTGGGATTCTTGTGATGTGGTCCTTAGACAACTATGTTTTCTTTAATTTCTTCTTTATTTTCTTTGGGATATATGCATGGCTAATATTTTGTTTTCACTAAAGCATAATATAAAAGGTGGTATGCATAACTTTCAAAATTTCTTAGCCTGAAAAATTGATATTAAAAATATGTCAAATATCAAATTCTATTGTAGGAAATATTAGTTTTTCAACATTTATTACAAGGTATCAATTTTTGTTATTGAAAATTAATTCATGACCTAATTCAAATCATCAAGAGAAAATACATGAAAAAAAAAAGCATTAAGGAAAAAACAAACAGACAAAAATAATAGAATTTATGTCTTCTTCGTGTCTCTATCACTATAGTTTTCTGTATAATGAAGATGATTAATGTTTCGTTTGAGATGGCTTTCTTACTATTTCTTAAAGTTATTTTCTAGTACAAAAATTAAAAATTTTGATACTAGAAAGCTTCTTTAATAAAGAAGCAATAAGAAATCCGTCTCAAACGAAACCTAAATCTTATGAGATAAATTTAATAACATCCCTCTCTCTCAAATCTCTTTTACATGAAACTCAATAAAGTCACTCCTTTTATAATTAAAATGTAAGTCAATTTATATACTTCTCTTTGTAAGACATTTTTTTCGTAGGGCAAGGATTTGATACTCAAGTTAGGGATTCACGAATAATGTTCAAGAAATCAATAATAGTTTATTATTTATTAAGTGGAACTGAAATAAGTGAGATGAGGCTAATATGATGAAAATAAGGATTTTTCTAGTAAAACAAATTAGGATTCTTGTGAAGGGCTTTTAGAATTAATGTAATAATATTGAATGCAAGTGTTGCTTTCCTCATTTTATATAGCGACTTTTAGTGAGCTGGATTGAACCATTTGAGAGGGCTAAGGAAATCTAGGAAAATAAATTGAAATATAACTAATTTTTAGATTAGCTATAAACAACATTTTTTTTCCTAAAAATCATGTATTCCTAAGTGAGTGGCTCATGAACATGCACTTACTTTTTGTTTAAAGCTGAGTGCTTTTTGTTGAAAGTGCATGTGACATTTTTTTATTGGGTGCCTGATGTATCTCTACATCAGGTTACCTGACCCAATAAAAATTCCTCGATGAGACAAAGCCAATGGACCCAAGATCATTTAATTTTGAAATAATTAAGGCACTCAAATACTAAATAATTAATTTTTAATCAATCAATGTTACCAAAATGCCACTCATAAAATGACTATAAAAGAGCTTCATTTTCTACAATTAGGGATGTTCATGAGCTAAAAGAACTTTAAAAAACTCTATTACATTTTTCAATAAGCATCAGTGACAACCACCAAAAACAATTGCCTCCACCATTACTATAACAACCATAAATTTTAAATGTTTAATGATTAAATCGAAATTCCTATAATCTTGAAATTTTGACTTGGATTGCTGAGGCATTGTGCATTTGAGTGCACGCAGCACTACCCTTTATGTCAGAGATTTTTTGAATGAGCGGTGCAATAGTATTGGATCTAGGCGTAATGGAGCTTGTCTCTCGGGTTTGCAAAAAATTTAAAAAGCATCGTGACACTGAGAATTTGAGAAATATAAAATTTCATTTATCTAAACCCTCACTGCCCCCATCCCACCCTATTCCCTTACATGGTCAGGAAAGACAGGAGAGGAAAAGAGGAGAGAAGGGTAGAGAGAGGAGGAAAGAGAAAGTGGAGATTTAGGCAATATTTTTTATTGCTCTTGTCACAAAAGTTGCTCTAATCATGATATGTAACTTTAACCCTACCTACATTCTTTATTATTTTCAATTTATCTATTTTCCATGTCTTAAAATTAACAAAATGCATTATCTCTTGATATAGACCATTTTTAATCATGTAACATTGGATATATTGTAGAGATCATCATCCTGAATATGTAGTAGATTTCACTAGTGTTGACCTCATGTTTGTATGAGGTCATCACGGCCCATCCTGCTTCCAATGAAACTCCAAATCCAGTCCAAATCTTGAATTCCAAACAAAATCCTAGGTTTAAGGACTTTGTTCTTGAAACCCTTTTTGGATGATTTTTCAACCACCTTAAAAAATCTAGTCTAACGAGCTATGATTCATGCTCTATCAATTACATATTGATTAGGCATGTCCCTGGGGTGAACTCTTAAAATTTGTGCTCAATCTAACACTCCTAGCTCCAAAACTAAATTGATTTTCAAAGGCTATAATACCTTTAAATATTTCTAATTTATGCCTCACAGTCCTCCACCTTATGGAAATTGACCTTGGGACGCTCCACAAGAACTTTAATCATGTTCGTAGCTTTTAATATGACATGTTGTCCAATAAATGGCATTTTGTTAGGCCTAGATTGGCCCAAAAATGACTAGGGGTCAAAATGACCAAAATGCCCTTTAAGGGGATTTTTGGACTTTTCCCCAAAACTCAACATGGCTCAACCACATCAAACCTTGAAACCTCCTCTAATGCATCCTAGACATCATTAAGAATGCATTAAACTAAACCCAACCTTTGGTTCGACCTAGTTCACCAAAATGCACCTTCAGGGTTAAAATATCAATTCCAATACAAATGACCCCTCCAATGCATATGACCATATCTATTGGTCTCTATTGATCAATTTATATTTGTTGAGCCCAAACTCAACTCTTGGTTTAGTTGACCAAGTCAACTATGGTTGACCAAATTACCCTTTAAACCTTTAAACTTTCATTTCAACCCAAATGACCTCTTTATCACTTGGGATAACTTCCATTAGATTCAAATGATCAATCCAAACTCAATGGATCGAACTCAAATTCTTTGAACAAGGCCTTGCAAGCCCATTCAAACCCATAGAATGATCGATTAGGTCCTTAAGAGATCCCTTTTAAAGACCCAAGCCTTGGGCCCACTTGGGTTAGCCACATGGCTTGACCGAAGTGTCCAATAAGGGTCTCCCACAAGCCAAATTCTACCCTAAGATAAATTGGATCAAACTAATGGTTGAATTTGGTTCCTCATGACCCAATGTACCTATCGTAGTAGACCCAACCCTTGGCTCAATTCAGGTTAGGAATTGGGCTAGCCTAAAGTGATCAAAACTACTAAGGATTAAAACATTTCCCAACCTAAGATTTAATAGGCCAAGATTGCACCTCCATTAGGTGGCTAGGTCTAACACATCTACCCTAGACTGGCCAGCCTTTTGGTTGACTTGAGTCAACACCCAACTTGCTCAAAGTGGTCAAAAACACTTTGACTTGAGCCATCTTCCACCACACATCAATTCAAACTCAATTGAAACTTTCATTGGATTCCCTTTCAGCCAATGAGCCTTCCCTATCAAGTCCACAACCTGGCTTGACCTAGGTTGCACCCAAACTGACCCAAACCATAGGTTAACCCAAGTCATCTTTTTGAATTGGTTTACCTCCTACCCAATTAAGCTCATTAATGAGTTCAACAGAGCCCTAGCAAGCTTTCCACCCAAGTTTGACACATGAAGTGGCTTGTGGAAGCCGAAGCAAACCAAAATGTGCTCTAATGGTCCCCCCTTCACAAGCCTTGGCTAAAGTCATCCTCATGTCCTGGACTCGCCTCCTTTGGGCTCATATGACTCCCCCAGGTTTTCCCCATACAGTTGGAAAGAATCTAATGGTTGCCCTAATTGATCCTAGCTGTTTGACTCCATGACCAAAGCTTGAATAGGGTAGCTCATTTCAAACCCATTCATTCGCATCTAGTGCCTCCAAACTCTTCCCATAACTCTCTGAGCAATCCCATATCTCCCCCTAGTCCTTCAGGCCCTCTAGAGCTCAGTTTAAGTGACCTTCTACAAAATTCCTCTACCCTTTGCTCGAAGTGATACCTCCGATCATCCTTTGGCCATGATACCTAAAGAAGAAGTGTTTTTTCACCCATCCTATAGCTTCCTGATAAAAATATCATTAATTGGGTCCTTCTATAAGGTGAAACCTCATTCTTGAGCTCCATAGATAGCTAGTCCAACCTAGTGTGAAAAAAATAATCAATCCTATTGATTTCTATTGTTGGATTGAAAGCTTCTATCATCATGATCCTCCCTAAGAATTTTAGTGAAGTTTCCTCAACGGGATCTCTCGAATCATGCCGGAGAAGCCCTACAGTAGTGGAACCTTGCGGGAGCTAGAAAAGATAATCAGAGCCATGATCAATGACTCCGATTGAATCCTACATTCCTAGGGTGATTTTTATAATAGCCGCTCAATCTTATATCAGACGGCCATGGTTTACTCTATGTTATCTAGTTAACTGCCAATTATTGCTCCACCAATTAGAAGGTGCCGCACGGAAGTCATGTGGCTAAAAGGTAATTCTAACAATTAATTTCTCAAAAAAAAATAGG